GTGGTGGTGGTGGTGATAGAGTCCCTCTCTCTGGTCGTGCTGGTTCGGTGTGGTGGTCTGCCTGCATGCAGTTGGTTGGTTGGTCGATCGCAGGTTCCGCTCCCCGCATCCGCACCGGAGGTCATTCGCAACGGAAATAGCCCGACGGGCGAGACGACAGAAAAAAAAAAAAAAAAAAAAAAAAAAAATTCAAATCCATCGGCGCAAAAATTTCGTGATGAGGGTCGGTCAGCAGCTTTACTGCTTACAGACAAAGGGAAGAGAGAGAGAGGAAAGAAGTGCTGCCCGCCAAGCCCGCTCGGATTTGAGGCCGCCAAGCAACTACGCCTTCCCATTGGACTACCAAGAGGGTTCGTTGGGAAGAGGGTGGTCTCATTTCTGAACGCTACCGGGCCTGCGGATTACGATTCTTTCAGCTGTTCGCGTCCGCGCCGGCCGTGGACGGGCACCTTAGCATAGGTAGCTTCGCAATTTTGTTCGTCCAATGTTTGGGGGTTGGTTCGGAGGCGGAGACCGAAGCTACCTACCTATCTTACTACGGGATCCCCCCTCTCAGGTACCATCGTCGCTAAGGTTTTGCGCCGCCACAGCTGTGTGTACCCGTGTAAGTTTGCTCCCACGTGGATGTGAAGGGCACATGGCATGCTGCGGATACGACGCTGCGGATGTCCTCGGAAACGTCTCAGCTTTCGGAGTGACATTGTAAGTTTCTGGCCCCAGCCGCTGGGAGGAAATCAAATTGTTTCCCTATTGTCCGCGCCCGCGTACTCGTCGTCGTCGTGTGGCGGAGTCGTTGATAGTTTGCTTGGTGTGCGAATGCTTCGTAAGGCCGTACCTTACGGACCTCAGCTAGGGGATTCACCTCCCGGCACTCGATTAGTAGAGCTCGTGAACAGAGTTCAGCGGGACAAGGGCTCCGGGCAGACAGAGAGATTGAGCAAGGTCAAATCTCCCTCCAGGGCTACCGTTTGTCTACTGATCACGGGAACGAATGTGATTGCTCATCACGGTGGTCTTAGCCAGAGCCCTACGGGTGCGGTGATTAGCTAGCTTACGAGACGACCCTGGCGATGGCCTTTCTTTCCCGAACATATGGGAATTGTCAAAGCTGTCAAAACATGGGTGTTGCTGATGCTCATCACTTGAGACATGGCACTTGCGCTCAATACTTGCACTCTTTTCGGGAGATGGGTGGGTTCGGTGTTCGGAGGGTGGGAGAGGAGGCTTGCGGTTCCTGCAGCCTGCACCTTTGACAGGCAGCGCCGAAGGAAAGCCACAAGCCTGGCGCCTGCCCATCCGTCCATTCATCGGATCAGGTCCGGATAGATCACCGCTGACTGGCACCGGCGACCGTTTGCGCTTACGGCGGCGGCCTTGGAGGGAGGGGAGGGGAGGGGAAGATGGCATATCGAGATCGTGAAGGACGCCGACCATCGACGGGGCACGGTCGTCTGAGGCGTTCCTTGGATCTGCTGATGTCTTTCTTCTCTGTACGAAGAGGCCGGCCTCTCTCCGCCAGGCACATCAATTCACACACACACACAAGCGCGATCTACGCTTCCCGTGGAGAGCGTGGGAACAGATTGGCCGGGTGCCTGAGTCAACGGCCATGGGTTTCCGTTAATTGGCGGTGATGACAGTGGGTGGTTCCGGTGGCTGTTGAGGCGGTTGATCGACAGTTCCAAGGCCTTGGAATCGTTGGTTTGAGATTTTTCTCAGGCTGGGCCTCTTTTTTTGTTCCCTCCTAAAACTTTTGATCAAGATGACTTCATCTCGTTCCAGCTTGTCAGAGAAACATGGAGCCCCCGCCCCATCAAACCACGGTCCACGATGAAAGACGGGACGACGGCAGCTATCAAAAAGACGGTGTCATGAGTCGTGACAGCTTCACGAACGGGTCTGTGCATCGTCATTGATGGGGAGGGAGGTTGAGGTTCGCGGCAGACATTTGCCGGGTTTTTACAGGCATGGAGTGTGCATCGTCATGGGCGATGAGAGCCTCAATGCATCTACGAATGAAGTTGTCGAATTATGCGGGAGAAAGGAGAGACACAGAATAGGGGGATGAGACAGTTCGGGTGAGGCTGAGTTGTTGTCAGACAATGCGGCGAAGCGTAGCCTCGTCCTACTGCTTGACGTGTGGCAAATTGAGATGTCGTCGTTGCGATGCAGAAAGAAGCAAAAAGCCTCTTCCCCAGTCTGCGTCCAGGGGGCTTGGACAAAGCTGCCTGGGAGGAGCTCTCTTCGCCCTGCCGACCGAAGGATGAGGCTGCGTTGCCCCGGACGAGAAAGACAGGGGACCCGAATTGGGGACATCATTATCTGAGCCAGACTATCGGTTTCACTCGCCAGGCATCTTCCCGTCCTTCAGCTCTGCCTGTTCTTCGTTTTTTCTTAAATCCTTAGCCATTAAAATCTCTGACGATAGTTGACCGGGATGAAGACTTGTGGTGGTTGAAGACAGGCAAGGGGACGGGAAGACAGAGGTAGCCACAACGAGGTAAGAACGGAGATACGGAAATAGAGAACAGGGACAGGAACAGGAAGAAGAAACAATTCGCCCGACGGCCGTCTTCGGTAACGATGCTCCGTGGAAATGTGCAAAGACCTTTCCCGGCTACACGGAGTTGTGATCGGGATGCGGCACGTCCGCCCAGCGCGCAATGTCCGAATGTTCCCTGCACATCCCCAGTAATTAAGCTACATGCACCGCTCGCGCTATCTTTACGCAGATTCCCAATCCGTACAATGCCGCGAAAAGGTACCGATAGCAACAGAGCTTTCTCGGGTTCCCTCTTTTTCTTTCTGTTCAAGTTGTTCTCTTGTTACGTCTGCATTCGTATCCCATGATCCCCACCCCCTGGTCTAGTTCGAGTGGATAACAGGGCAAACTACTCCGTCGCTTCTTAGCACGGACGGCTATTTCTGGGTAAAGTTGACGAAAAGATTCTTACGAGAAGCGGGCGGATCCTGTTATGGAAGACTCTGGCACGTTGGCAGGGAAGCCGTCTCGACACCAGACGAACTCGATGGATCGTGATGGAGCTGCCCAGAGGCCGTCGCAGCCGCGCCAGGCGTTTCGGACGTTGGAGACGCGGAGGTCGTTCGGAGCGGGGAGTGGTTCGCTCAGCTGCGATTGCTGCACACCATCCCTTCCGACGATGGCACTAGTGCACTACGGCAAGCGCGACCTGCCAAGCTGCGCCACGCGCATGAACCCATCACCAGGTGTGGCGGCGCGACGTGTGTGGGGGGGATGCTGATCGTGATGTCGGCATGCCCATTGGCTTGGGACCGTTGAAGTCATGGAGGCGAATCAAGGAGAGGGGGGCAGGCGCTATCGTTTGCTTTGACAACATCATCACGATCATGGCATGACTTTCGGTAGAGATTTGTGGATTATACGGGTTGCTTGGGACGGGGTGAATGTACATTGCGCGCGGGGTTCATGTTAGTCCCAGCCGCGAGATATCGGCGCTCAGCTTCCGTCCTTGCATCATCTCCGCCATCACTTTCCCTGTCCCGAGGCTGAGGCTGATGCCCCAGGGCCCGTGGCCGGCCGCGAGGAAGACGCCGCCCTCGGCGCCGGGGCGGGTTGATACCCCGTCTCCGAGACGGGAGTCCGGGATGCGGGTCAGAATGGGTTCCCCGGACGCCGTCACGGGGCGGAAGCAGAGGCCTTTCCTGACGACTTCGAGATCACCTTCTGGTACGTGGATAATGCTCCCCGCCGTTTGTTGAAGCTGGTCTATCGCGGCTGGCGAGATTGGTGTTTGGCCCGGTAAGTCTGGAAGGGGGAGCTCTGGAGCGTTGACGCCGGCAATGTAGATATGTCCACCGACGCGAGAAAAGAGCTCTGGCGAGAACCCGGCTCTGTCAGTGCCGAAGATGGCGTGGCAGCCTGTTTGCGTTGTGTCGTCGCCTGGAGTTTTGATGACGAGGGAGTGACCTGCCAGGCTGGAGATGGGCAGCTCAATGGACGCGCCGGGGAAGAGCTGCGTAAAGACGCGCGGGGACCAGGCGCCTGCAGCGATCACGAGGCGTGTGCAGGGAACGTCGGTCTCTGTGGAAGAATTCGTGTCACCAATGCAAACTGTCGAGAGCTCGCCGCGGAGGTCGGTGTTGATGGAGAGAGCTGTAGCTGGGTGGTGGAGGTGGACGCCCTCTGACTTGCATGTTTCGAGCAGGAAGTTGCAGAGGCGTAGGGGTTCCCTGTTATCGTGTGAGATTTCACATGCGAAAAATGCCGTGGATGGATACGCACACTTGACCGGTCGTTTCTGAGTCTCCAATAACTTGGACATCGTCGCCGGCGGCACGGCGTAGCCACGAAGGGCCGTCGCCGTGTGTCTCAACGGCTTCGACAACGTCGGCTCGGCTGCCCCCTTCACTTAGCCATCTCTCGCCATTCCTGCTCTTCTTGATGGGCGCAGCCGCATGGCTGTAAGTCGTACTCGTTGACCAACCCCATCTCTCTCTGCCATTATTCTCCTCCGCAAGTCTTTTGTGTTCATCAAAACTCAGAGCTCCAAGGGATGCAGACTTGGCCGAGAACCAGTCGCGCGCAAGGAAGCCCCCGGCATACCCAGATGCAGAAGCAAACAGCTCCGGTGATGGCTCAACGAGATGGATAGTCGATCCAGGCTGGTGGTCAGCAAGGTAATGGGCTATCGACAAGCCGATGATGCCCGAGCCCAGAATAACTGTCGAACTCATTGTGAAAACATGTCACTTTGAGGAGTAATATCGTGAACAATGACGTTATGGTCCAACACCTCAGGGAGCTTCCCAGACAGCACCGAGCTGGGACCCCGCCATCTTGATAAGATAAGCTGGCCCCCGCTCCACCACACACAGAGGCAGGCCGGACCCATTGACTTCGGGTGGCGCAAGCCTGCAGCTCCATCCAGAGGTGCAGACTCTTTTTCCCGCGGTTGCGCTGCTTTTTTGGTGTTTGAGAAAGAAACCTGTCTTGCCATAGATCAGCACAACGCGTTACAATGTCTGCCAAAGTGATCATCGTCACCGGCGCCAGCCGCGGCATCGGCCTGGCTATCGCCCAGTACCTGTTGAAGGACTCGCACAAGGTCGTGTTGGCAGCGAGGTCCAAGGACCAACTGGAGGCTCTCAAGTCCGCGCATCCTGGACAGGTCGAGTATGTTGCGGGAGACTTGGGTGATCTCAAGGTGAGGGCGTCACTTCGCGGCTGCGTGGCGTTGATAGGGAAGGCTGACACCTGCAGACCATCCCCAAGATCGCCGAGGTGGCTGTCAAGGCCTTCGGCAAGATCGACGGCATTGTGATCAACCACGGCGTATTGGAGCCCGTCTCTCGTCTGGAAAACTTCAACGTCGAGGAATGGAAGCGCGCATACGACATCAACGTCTTCAGTGGACTGGCATTGGTGAGGAAAACGTTTTGTTCACAACTTGATTATTGTCTAACTACTCAAAAAGGTACAAGCCGCTCTATCTGAGCTGCGCAAGTCCAAGGGTTGCGTCCTTTGGGTTTCCTCCGGAGCAGCAACCGGCGCGTACACTGCCTGGGGCGCCTACGGCACCTCCAAGGCTGCCATGAACCACCTCTCCGCCCACTTGGCCGTTGAGGAGCCCGACATCACGAGCATCGCCATGAGCCCCGGTCGCGTCGATACCGCCATGCAGAAGGTCATCCGCGACACCGGCAAGGACCACATGGCCGAGAAGGACCACTCGTCCTTCGTCTCCGACTTTGACAAGGGAGGTCTCCTCAAGCCCGAGCAACCCGGCAACGTGATGGCGCGGTTTGTCGTCAAGCCGGAGCACGCCCTGTCGGGCAAGTACTTCAAGTAGGTCGGGCCATTCCCGTCAACATTTGACAGAAGCTAACCCCATCGCAGGTGGCAAGCTACAGAGCTTTCGGCGTACCAGGAGTAGACTCCAGTGTTTACTAAAAAGTCCAATGTTAGCCAGCTGCTTGAGCCAGTGAGAGCAGAATAGAAAACATTGAATAGATGATGCCTCAGTCGAAAGATGAAAAGCTCATATTTGATTCCACATTGTTTATTCAGGATTAGCATGGAATATGTTTCATCATCATCGGCAAGTTCGCTCAGCGCGAAGCAGAAGTAGAAAGAAAAAAAGTTTGCGCCTACCTTGAACGAGAGAGCTGTAGACGAGGATCGTGAGCAATACGGATCACACATCACTGCTAGTGCACCCTGCAAGCACATCCACGTCAGCATCGAGTCCACGCATGCTGGCTGTCGAACAAGAGTGCGTTGTACAGCAGGTGCTCAGGGGTTATCATTTCTCCGTCTTGGAAGGTCGGTATTTGATAGTACTTTGGACATCATCGCAGGCGCGAAGCGGCGCAAACCACGACGTTGCGGCAAGAACGTAGGCGGGCCAGCTTACATTTTCTGTCTGAAGAGATTTCCGTTAGCTTTGGGTCGCGCCAAAAAGGTGGGCATCAAGAAGCAAGAAAGCTCAAGGTGACAAGTCAGAGAAGTCCGTTTGGCAGGACGGTCATTCACCACTGTATGAGGGGAGTTATTCCTCGTAAGTTTGGGGCGACAACAGAGCTCATCAGGTCGATGGGGGAAAGCGGGAAAAGGAGGCAAAAGGTAAACCTACCAGAGTCAGTCCGGAAGAGGCGCAGAGACGCCAGCGGCTCGAGCAATTGAGCGCATGGTGATTTGTTGTCTCTGCTGTTTGGTGATGCAAGAGAAAGGAAAGCTGAAGCTGCCGTCAAAAATCTGACTTTTAAGGGAAGAAAAAATTTGGAGTGATTGGAGAAGGTGGCCCGTGCTCGGCGGCACGTCGGAAGCTCCTTTCACCGAACGCCGCGCCTGACTGGCTGAGCCCAGGTGGGCAGGTCCAGGTGGATCCATGGATGGGCACAGAAAAAAGTCGTGCACCACACTCATTGTGGCTCGCGCGCATTGAGTGGACAGCCCAAAAAAAAGAGGCAACAGCTGAGGCCTGGGCGCGGGGAGGGTTCAAATGCAGTTGGTGTCCCGCATCCAAATAGCATAAAAGACCCCACCACTAGCAGCCGCCCGAAGAGCGAGCCACACTGTCCCGCGTCTGCTTCACATGTCCGCTCCGCTCCCGTGTTTTTCACCGCCAACCATCTCCGATATAAGTCTATAGACCGGTCTCAGCTCACGGCCACGAACTGCATAGCCAGGTCCTTCAAGGCGGCCTACATTGAAACCATCCGGCTGGGATCTAGCCGGTTCCTCACCCTCTCTTCTTTCGAATACGTCACCGCAACATCTCAACCCATATCTCATTCTTCTCAGTTCATCCTGCGCCATGTCCGACCACGATATCGCCGGTAAGTTGCTCTCAGATTTGTCCAGATATTACATCTTTCATTCGCTCGCCCTTCACCCCCTACGAATGTCCTTATCGGTCATTCGTTGCCGCCGCTCCTCCCTTCCTCGACTGCATGATCGCAATCGGGCTTCCATTCTGTCTGCCCTCATCACAGCTGTCTCGTATAAGACGCTCATCCTGCATATGCACCATGCTGCCTGAGAGCGGCAGTAATGCTCTCTTCATTTATTCAGATGCGCTAGGACATTTTCTGGAAAGACCAGGATGGCCTCATGGGTGCCGTTTCTATGCCTTGCTTCCACACAGCCTGATCTCCAAAAGACTTATTGCTGACACAGCACCATAGGCAACGATGACTTGTCTCTGCCAAAGGGTAAGCCTCTCATCCCGTCTTTCGCTACGGCCAACACTAACGGCCTGCAGCAACCGTCCAAAAAATCGTAACAGAGATCCTCCCGCCCTCCGTAGGCATCGCCTTCTCAAAGGAGGCGCGCGACCTGCTCATCGAGTGCTGCGTCGAGTTCATCACCCTCATCTCCTCCGAGGCCAACGAAATCTCCGAAAAGGAGGCCAAGAAGACCATCGCCTGCGACCACATCACCAAGGCCCTCGAGCAGCTGGGCTTCTCAGACTACGTTCCCGCCGTACTCGAGGCGGCGGCGGAGCACAAAGAAGTCCAAAAGGTACGTTCCCAATCTTAGCCAGCCCCTCCACCTCCGACCCGTGACACCAGTCGAGGCTGACACATCTTCTGCAGGGGCGCGAGAAGAAGGCAAACAAGTTCGCCAACAGCCAGCTTTCCCTCGAGGAGCTCGAGAGGATGCAGCGGGAAGCTTTCCAGGATGCCGCCACTAGGCATGCTTAGACGGCACGACGGGCATGGCGTTTGTGAACAGTGGCTTTGTTTTTAGTTTCATCTTGTTGTTTTCTTGGGGCATGGACACGGCGTTTGAGGGCTTATCATGGAGGAGACGAATCATGACGAATTCACCGCGCTGACGAAATGCATGATTCCGGCTTTACTTTTGCTGTCATGGGGAAAGGGCAGCACACATCATCGATAGCATGGCCTTTATTATCGACGAGAGCATCGTTTACCCTCACTCGGGTCATACGCATGAATACAAAGCTGTGGAATGATATTTTCAGTCCGCGTCGTGCACAACAAACAACGCTTTTCTCGTTTGCGTCGGCCCGAGGCCGTCCCGTCCTATCTACATTGTGTGTACATGATGTAGATCCTAATGATATCGTAAACACCCCTTCATTAACTGCATCCCAGAAATCAGATAACGCCGTGGGTCCCGTATATACTGAGGAAACCTTGATCCATCGCGAAAGAAAGTTCACCATAGTCGTCGCTGGTAGTAGACCGGCTCCTCGCCCTGCGACAAGCGCTTGATCTCCTCCTTGATCAGCCTCCTCCTCTCCGCTCGGCTGATGGGCTTCTCGCTGGCGGCGTCGGGGTCGGGGTGCTTCTGGTCCTTGACCTTCCACCCCTTGATGTTCCTCTCCCGCTCGTCCATCTTCTCCAGGTCTTCCTTGCTCACGCCCGGCTCGTCCTTCTCAGACGAGGAGACCATCTTCTTCCACAGGTCCGACGTCCAGCCCTGCTGGTTCTGTCCGGCGAGCTTCTTCGGGCGTTGCTGCTGCTGCTGCTCGGGCACCGAGGGGTTTACCTCGATGATGATCTGGTCCTGCTTTCCGCCTTCGTACAGGGCGTTGCCGGGTGTATTTTTGAGGTGCTCAGGCACGGTGTACGAGGTCTTGGGTGACGGTCGCGGGTCATAGTCTGGCTTGATGGCTTCCCGCAGCTGGTTCAGCGTGCGTTGCTGGATCACATAGCCGCTGAGGAACAGAGCTGCACCACAAGAGAGGACTGTTGGCAAGAGAATGCGTTTGCATATGCGGCAGGGCGCATACGCGTGACGCGTTGAGAGGTTAGCCGTTTGCTCACTCGTGGACGGGACTGGAATGCGGGAACGGGGCGGGTGTTACCGATGGCGGTGGAGAGGAGGACGGAGACTTGTGACGATGAGAGGAGCACCATGATTGCTGTGCTTTCTCGATCTTTATTTTCTCTGACAATAAATTTGATAGATTTGTATAGAAAGATGGAGTATGTGAAGATGTTCTGCATGCGTTTCACACGGCAGATAGAGACGCCATATCCCCCCGATCCTTTGGCTGCAGTCGCCGCCAGATGTGACGTGGCGGAGGAGTGTGAACTTGGAAGTGGGCTGTTTACTTGGTTCGCGGGGCAACTATCGATAGGCCAGCTGTCAATGGGTGTCATTGGCCGCCAGTGTGGCCGACAACGTTTTTTTCTTACGGCGGATGTCACGCCCAGCGAGCTAGCTTCTGCGTCGCATCGAATCCACCCCACCCGTATCGACCGAGCGTGATCTACTTCACGAGACCAGAGACGCGCAAAGACTCTAGAAAGCTTGGCTTGACGATATCTCGAGCGCAGTAGGTATCGCGCACCCAACGACGCGCCTTCCAATCAGGTCGACCATTGGACCTTCGCAACAAACTCCTCTGCTGTATTGACCCGCCCTTCCACTCGCTCGATCGCCGCAAAGATGAGCAAACCCGACACCATCTACGCCGACGAGCGGCGCTTCCTCGACGAGCGCGGCTCCTCTGCCTCCCTAGCCCCCAATGGCGAGAACCCGGCGACAATCATGGAGAAGGCCGTCCGCGAGCGCATCATCGACGCCTACTTCTACAAAGAGCAGTGCTTCGCCGTCAACGAGGCCGACATCGTCGACCGCGTCGTCGAGCACGTCACCTTCATCGGCGGTACCTACGGCGTAACTCAGAAGCCGACGCCTTTCCTGTGTTTGGCGTTCAAGCTGCTGCAGCTTGCGCCGTCGGACGAGATCCTCGAGACGTACCTGGGCTTCGGCGGCGAGAAGTTCAAGTACCTGCGCGCGCTGGCCGTATTCTACATCCGGATGACAAGGAAGGCGAAGGATGTTTACCTGCTGCTGGAGCCGTTTCTGGAAGACCGGAGGAAGTTGAGAAGAAAGGGACGCGCGGGGACGAGTCTGACGTACATGGATGAGTTCGTGGACGATTTGTTGACAAAGTCGAGAGTTTGCGCGACGAGTTTCAGGGAACTGCCCAAGAGGGTTGATTTGGTGGACTTGGGAGAGTTGGAGGAGAGGATCAGTCCGCTTGGTGATATTGATGAGTTGTTGGAGGAGGCTGAGGAAGAGGAGAGAAGGGAGGCAGGCGAAGGCAGTCCAAGGGAGAATGGTGCTGATGACTCTGAGGGAGAGGTGGTTGAATATAGGAGAGGCAGCGGTGAACCGATGGACGTGGAAAGGAGATCACGATCAAGAAGCCGAGATCGGTCTCTTTAGGTGGAAAAAGTTACGAAATGATACCCAGTCCTCCAGCGAAAGGAGTTACCAAATGCTTCAATTACGAGAATGCTGGAACATTACAATCGTGATATCGTGGGTATATTCTTTTCTAATGTACAAACACAATCGGCTTCTTTCACAGCACAAATGCTGCAGCTGCTGTTCAAGTCTATACTTAAGCAGAAAGCTGACGTAGAAGGTTTTTGGCTACGCCGAGGAGACGTTTGTCGTCCCAGTATTGGCCTATCAGCTGCAGACCGGCCACCTTGCGGCTATCGTCTGCATTCGCATCTGGCGATTCGACCTTGGTCGGGATGCTGATAGCCGGCAAGCCAGCCAAGCTCGCAGGCACCGTGAAGACATCATTCATGTAGACCTGCACCGGCGTCTGCTGCTTAATATCCTCGATCCTGGGCGCAAACGTTGGTGCCGTGGGACACAGCAAGAAGTCCACCTGCGACGGACCAAGCTTGTCCTGCAGCTTGACTTCGTCCTTCATATCGCTCAGATCAAACTGTTGCGGGTCGTAGAGGGAGTTCTCTAGCCGGAATACACGGTCAAAGTCCCTCTGCACAAGCTTCCTCACTCGCTGTGCTTGGATGAAGTAGTTGTCCATGGCTTCGGAGCTCAAGCTGTAGGCACCTAGGAGAATGCGCCGCTTGACCTCGTCGCCAAAGCCGAGACCGCGGGTCTTGGAGTAGAGGACCTCGCCAGCGCCGTCACTCTCGTCACCGCGAGTACCGTAGCGGACGCCGTCGTACTTGGCGAGGTTGGACGACGCTTCAGCAGGGGCGATGACATAGTACGCTGAAAGAGCGTGCTTTGTCGACGGCAAGGAGACAGGGACGATGTCAACGCCAGACTTTTGAAGGAGGCTTGCCGCATTTGTCCAAGCTGCTCGAATATGGGGGTCGAGTTCTTCGATGTTGTACTCGAGAGGAACGCCGATTCTTAGACGTGAGCGGTGATCCGCCTCCTGTTCTTGTTGGCGCTTGCGGAAGCTCTTAGATATAGACGTGGGGTCTTGGGCATCGTGCTCGGCATCTAGGCCAGTGCTGAACATGATATCCTCAATAATGCCCACCTCCCGCGCAAGCAGACTGACGGTATCCAGCGAGTTGGCGTATGGCACCACACCCCATCGCGAAAGCATGCCGTATGACGGTTTGTATCCCACAACTCCACAGTATGCCGCTGGGAGACGAATCGAGCCACCCGTATCTGTACCCAAAGCCACATCCGCATCGCCCGTCTGAACCGCAACCGCACTTCCTCCAGAGCTTCCGCCAGCTGAGGTGGGCGTCGAAGATAACGGGTTTAGCACGGGTCCATGTATCGAGTTCAGAGAGTGCGATCCCATTCCGAACTCATCCATGTTCGTCTTTCCAACTACATGTGCGCCTCGTTCGCGGAGCTGGCGCACGATGGTGGCCTCGTAAGGACTCTTGTGGGAGGAGAGGATGGCGGAGGAGCATGTCGTCGGCAGCTCCTGCGTAGCGATGTTGTCCTTCACAGCCAGCTTGAAGCTCTTCGTTGAGCCGGCTGTCGGAGGGGCAATTGATGCCGCCTCTACGGACTCTGCGATCAGTTAGCTGTGCCCCGCGCAAGTAGGGTGATTGGTCTCCCGTACCCGTCCGCACGAAGTGGTTGAAATCATGGTGCAGTCGCCTTTGGAGGAAGGCTGTCTGCCCAATGCCTGTCGAGTGCAGTGCCCGTGGGCGTAGGCGTGAGAGCTTGACATGAGAGGACATGGGGCCGCGAATGCCAGCCTGTGGAGGTGCTGCTTGGAGCTTCGGGGTTGGGTGACGAGCTTCCACCGCAGATGGCCGATGATTTCGGTGGATGACTAATCATGCATTTCGGACCCACATCAGAACCCCGATGCCCCGTCCGTGACCGTAGACCCGGTGGGGTATTCAGTCTTGAGCACGACTATCTCGTTACCGGAATCACCTGGAGTACGAGCCACCTGCCTTTGTCATACCCTTACTCCACGTACAGTAGTCGTATGATACGGAGATGATGCTTTTCACACAAGCCACGCGTTTCTTCATACAGGTGGCGCCCTCAGCTAGCAATCGTCACAACGTCTTTAGAATCATTACTTATTCACTACGATCATCTAGGAAGGCATTGGCATCTGTGAGATGTTCTATTGTGTCGACATTCAAGATTCAAACAGAATACTATATGTGAAGTTGTACGAAAACCATCCCTCTATGGAACCAATTTGCCAGTCCAATAGTTCCATTAGGATTTGCTTTCATAGCCATAAATAGCTCTTGTTGACGGAGCACTTCTTTTCTGCACACCACGTTAAATGCCTCTGGCTCTCGTCTCTCTGCCACGAAGTCTGGTCCAAATGTTTCGCCCACCACCAAGCGTCAGAAGGTAGACGTGGATAGATTGCTTCCGCGCCATAATGCCGCCCCAAGTCCTCGGCAAGAAAGTTTTTTGCACGAATGAAGATCCTGCGACCTTCAGTCGTCCACTCATACTCTACCAAACAATCTCGGCATCTGATTCCGTGAAGTCCAGGGGCGTTTCTATTCCTGATTCCTCCCAAAAATCTTCCCATTTTACGCGAGGTAGGCTTCATGGAGCACGCGCAACATTCAAACGCGGCGTCGTTGAGATGGTGTTTATAGCACCGGCTTTCACTGTTGGCCTCTCGGAAACAGACACACCGATCAGCACTGACGGCTTCCATCATGTCCACGAAAGACATGTGTCCACACATCAGATCCGGATGTGCTCGGTCCAGTTGTCGCAGAGCCTGTCGCAATGCATCTTTGGTTACGAATCGTCCTCTTTCGACGACACAAACTTGAAACTTCCATGTCAAGATTAAGAAGTTATCCTCAGAATTCGACGTATGTCGTATGACTGGAGATTCCCCTATTCCCCGAAAGGCCGCCATGCAGCTGGTGCAGTCTAGGACGATGGTTTCTCTGCCCCGTCTTCTTGGCGAGTTAAACAAGTAGATAAGAGTAGACCACGTCAGACTTTGGTGAGGGCATATCTTGACTCTGCCTTCCCAAGCAATACACCGACGTGGGCTTTCAGGATCTTGTCCCGTTGGAAATGAGTACGCGGCATGCTTGTAGTTGCAAGCGCTACAGTAGATTTTTGGCTGATCGTGATACCTCTCTTTGAGCTCCATGAACTCGCAATTCGCTGGCCAGTTTGAACGGCATCCACTACAAAGCAAGTCTTTCTGGAGAAGCCTCCTGACTTGCAACTGTCCGGAGTTTCCGATACTTTCACGCCTAAACGCCAACAAGGGATTGCAGGACGTTGGCACGGAGACGGGCGATCGTCTTGATATAACCGATACCCATCGTCGCAGTCGTGAGATCGATCGGGGTTGTTGTGCTGGTTCCGAGTCGTGGAGGTTGGAGAAGCTACCGTGAGAGAAAGCCCCATGAAACAGGACGCAAACTTGTCGAAAGATAAAAGCGTCTTCGGGATCCAGCCAATCCATAATCTCTAATAACAGCTCCCTGGGAATACGGTAGATGGGACTTCGAAGGGCATTTTGCTCTCTTTTGCCTACCCAAGCCACGCTTGGCCCGGTCACAAGATCCCAATAAGAACTCATACAGAATCGTGATATTTCCTGCATTCTGCTGAAATAGTTGAACTGTAATGTGTGGTGGGGAAGTAGATTTAGGTTGTCTTTGGCTGACCAGTCGTGGTAAACGTGGATGGCGGGCGATACTTCCGATGGAAGAGGGAGGGGGCAAGGAAACAAGAATGAGATGAGTGTGAGAAAACAGAAAAGAAAAAAAAAAGAAGAGTCTAAAACTCTGAAACCTTATGCCTTACCATATGCAACGGTTAGATGCTTAAGTTTTCAATGGTAAACATACCTTGATGGACCTAACCTCAACACTATCTTCTGTTCTCTCCGCAACTCATCGTCAGCACATGTCTTATCTCGTCAAAGGTAGGCTGAGATCCTTCGAAAGTGAATTCTCTTCAAATTGCATTGTTATCTCTCAACCCCCAAATTTGCTTGCAAATTTTGAAAAAACCATTTTCGATGATGAGTTTATATGTGAGAAAACATTTTGATGTCAATCCTTCTATTCAATATCTCTAAGGAAACTTGGTATACGAAATGGGTTGCACACGCGTCACTTCTCTGCTCAGACAACTCATACTAATGGTGAGGTGGCTCTGAAGGTCGACTGAATGATGGGTTTTGACTCCTGTCAGTCTCCCCTTTACGGGCATCTTCCATGGCAACGCCTTCATAGCGAGAAACATTTGCAGCTGACTTTCCTCTGCCGAACACCAGGCCGGGATGTCCAATGTTCAAGCAGAATACGGCAATAACCATGACCCTGAATAATGTTAGCGATCTAGCAGTCAAGGGGAAGGAAATATGCTTACGCTGACTCCAAAGCAATGAACAGCGCTTCATCCCGGAACCAGTGACTGAAGTAACCCTCATGCAGCTCTACAATACGGTAGACGCATCGAAGCAGAATGAAGAATGTGCTGAGACCCAAGAAAAGCAGGAAGAACTTGAGCTTTCCGTTCATCTTGGACCGGCCGATCGAGCGGTTGTATCTGACCAAGTAGTCCATGAAGAGGATGGCAAATACCACAAGCGAGAAGACCTGGAAGATCAAGCCTGCCAAGGAGATGTTTACACCTCGGTCGACAGCTTCCTTGGTGGTGCTGACGGAGGATGACCCGCCGCCAACAGCTTGAAGGATCAGGGAGACAACATCGGCGGGGATGAAGATCCAGTAGAAAAGCTTCGGCTTGACCCGGGATAGTGAGGGATCGAGGTGGTTGATGCTATTTCATGCAACTGGTTAGCCGAGGGGCCAGTTTCAATCATGCGGCTCAGGAACAAGTACGTTTGAGAGAGCAGAACATAGATCGCCGCAGAGAAGAAGACGGGCGCGACTGTGATGCAGACTGTAGTGACGTGGCGTAAGCATGAAATCCTCATGGAGACTGATGTGCGTGAACACTGACCGATTTGCATGAGAAATCCTTCAAAGTTGAATGGGTTGTCGTAGATCAGAAGTCGTCCGATGTAGCCGACTATTTCCAAGATGCAGCCACTTATCATGCTTCCCATAAAGCCCCATGTCCTCGACCTAATTCCCTGGATGGCGTGGCCTACCAAGGCAATAGCAAACAGCGAGATGAAGATGGCGCTGGCGGGTACTGAGGGTCGATATTGCAGAATGCTCCATTCGATTGGGCAGAGCTCGAGTGTGCAGTTGGCATTCGGCCCAAAGGCGATCAAGCCGTCAGGTAAGATCGACATTTTGGTACAATCAGGTCCTCTCGCAATGTCTGAACGTGTAGTGACGGCATCATGGTAAAGGTAAGGGCCAGGGCAGGGAAGTCTTCTTATAAAATGTCAGGCTGGTGAAGGGATATTCTGTGCGAAAAAAAGTAGACCACAGGAGTCGAGTGCCCGGTCGTCCGCAGGAATCGGCCAGAATGGGGTTCCGACGACGTCTGCACGTATTAGCAAAAAGTGGCTTAGACATCCTCCGACGTGGCCCACTATCTAGCCGCTTCCCACCAGACGCACGAGAGATCTAATCTAGCCGAATAATACGCTCCCTTCATTGGGCCAGACGGAGTTCACAGGGTGCTAAGCGTGGCATGTTTCCTAACCTTGGGGCCGCCATACGGAAGGCTCGGTGCCTAAATGACGTTTAGATAAGATCACAAAAGAACCGCTGCCACGCCTTTCAAAAGTGTACAATGTTCGCACCGCCCGGTTCACGAACGGACGGGCCTCCCGACGCGCAAGTCGGTCTCCCCAACGCCCGCCCCGAAAATTTGCTCATGAACCTGATCATTGGTCCTGTTTGCAGGATAAGCGGAACAACTTTCCACGACAACGAATGCCAATGACGGTTGACGCGACCTCGTGGCTGCCCTGGCTTTAGCGACCGGGGGTAGCACCAAGCTGACGTTTAAGGTCTTTGATGATCATTCCCGAAATGGAAATATTGTCGCGACGCTAGCGCCGTGTGGGTCTTCCGCCGGGTGGAGCTCCCGAATCCCGTTTCCCAGCGGAGGGGCTTTGGCTCGCTAGGTAGGCGTATTCAACGGCCCGTTCAAGAATTCTTCCAGCCGAGTGCGATGTTTCTTGAATGAATAAGTTAGTATACAGAGGCTTAGACTTGATTTGGCGCTAGGAATATGCCATAAGCGGTTAAAATGTCGCGATGGACTGGTCCTGTCTTGCTCCCTCTTCCGTGGCTGAACGCAAGCGAGGCCAGTGACTGCGAATCGGTAGAAAACATGTCGAGGGCATCATTATGCTAAATGCCAGGAATTTTGAGGCGCAGTAAGCCTTGACAAGGCAGCCAGCAAGGCTCTAGGACTCCAGGAATGTTGTAGAGGAATGTCCACTTGAAACTTGGCGTTCGTAACACGGCGAGGCCATGAACTTCGCTTCGTATGTCTCATAAGTGACGATAAAATTTGCTACCGCTTGGAAAGGCAACGTATTCGTAAATGTGATGGCTGATGGCTGGTCCTGAGAAAGAGATTTACTGTTCCAAATAGGTCATCTGCTTTGCTATCAGGAGTCAAAGCCTTTTTTTTTCTTTGCTTCCTAGCTGAGCAAAAGCTTCTCGTAACACAAAGTAAAATTCGGTTGAGCTGAAAGAGAAAGCCGAGTTGAGAGTCACCCTGTTTGATGCCGAGATTGGATCAATTGGTACATGATTAATATTTGTGATTCGCAGGCTAGCGAAAAACAAAATAGACAAATCATGGATATTGAAAGAGGAGGTTGCTGGCAATGAGTTGCTCTTTTTCAAAAGGAAAATATCTAATCCTTGTAGTAGTTAACTCAGGGTGGACAGCCCGTCCGACAGCCCGTCTACCGACTGCTCGCTCCAATCAGCTGATAACTCCGCTGCATTGCCAAGCGTAGATGCTGATTCTTTTGGCTCCCATCGGACAAGAAGATGTTGCTTGTACTCATCTGCCGCATCAAAACCTCTGCTCTTGACGAGATCAAGAAACTTGAGCACCCGTTGCCTCTCTAGCTCTGTCTCCATCTCCCGCCCAACAAAGTCGGCGAAAGGTAGGTATAGGGCAAGATCAAGACCCAGTTGGCTGATCAGCATTTCTACATGCCCGAGAGCTGCCAAGGCTTGCTGATGAAGTGCTTCGGCGGGCATGACAGGCAGGTCGCACATTAGCGACTTCCACGCATTCTGCTGGAACATGTGAGATAGTCCGGTGAGAGCCCAGTGGTAGTATGGGCTGATACTGGCAGACGCTTGATCGTGTGGGCTCGAAGGTAGTTGCATGAGGTTTCCGATCATGCGGGACTGTAAGGCCGATACTTCGCACACAATGTTCAGACCTTGCACTTTCAAGTCGATAGACTCCCTCGATACCTCGTCCCCTTCCTTGAAAGAAAGACGCTGCTCCTCGGTTTTGGATGCCCAGGCAAGGGCCCTAATCACATGAGCAAGATGCTTAAAGCAACGACGGGAGTGTTAACCAACCTTGGCTGTAGATCTGCCCACTGCCACATGGCAGAAAGCATAGCATCTACCTTTCTGGAGTCCGGTGATGGTACCGAGCCTCCCGCAGCTTCGATGGTAAGGGGCAGGGCAGGCCATGGTTCGGGAGCAACCTGTGTCTCAACGGGCCGATCATTCTTCGCAATGCTCGAGAGGATGTCGAGGAACTTGAAAAGTCGGACCAGATCCTTTTCAAACGGCGTCCATGTTGAGACTGCTCGCCGTTTACTGTACGTATCGAGGAATTTGGATATCCTTCTGAGCCACATCTCAAATGTGCCAGGTGCCTCGCATAGCATGAGCTTTGGCAAGTTAGATTTCCGAACGACGTGAATCTGTCACTAATGGACTTACCTCCACAGCTGCAAGCAGAAGAGCGCTCATTAAGATCGCTGTGAACTTTGTAATCTCCGGTTTCTTCAGCTCCGCATCAATGATTGACTTTTGCCGCACCCACGTCTCCATAACGTTTCGTCTCTCTTTGGCGTTGATGCGCAGAATCTGAGGGTTTCGACAGGCATATAAGGCTCCAACGATGGACAGAGTGCGGCTAACGTTCTCATCTTCATGAGACATGGCCGTCACGGTAGCACTCCTCAGCACGGACGCTTGAGTGAGAGAGCCCATGGCCTGAAAGTAGGTGCTTATGTAGCGCCATGAGTCCTGGACCAAGACTCTTGGGACCCGTGAGAGTTCACGCTGGTTCACGAAATGGAAGCTTGACGACGCTGTCGAGGCCGCGCACTCGATGCCTCGTGTGACGCAACTTGAACACGGATGTGCTCCATTGCACTGGGAGTGTTAGCATCCTCTCGACTTCCGATCAATCAAAATACTCGACCGGCAGCTAACCTTGATATGCGACTTCTTGCAAGGGGCGCAACGGTGCCCGACGCGTCGCCGGTCAAGCTGCCCGCATGGCATCGGATCGGTCTAGTGGGGTCGTCAGGAACCGGGACTCGGCAAGATCGGAATATGGCATGACCACCGGACACGGAGTCCGGTCTCCGGAGATGCGATTGTCTGAGAGTTTTCGATAGCGACAGGCTGCAGGCAGTGGTTTGAACGAGAAACGTAATCACGGCTGGGCTATCCGCGGATACCGGAGGACATAAGGTCCGCTGTGTGGCGCAGGCATGATTACCTGAGACCTTTTAGTGGGCGTTAAAGAGGCTCGGTAGCGCTTCTTCTTCGCTGGATCAGGATGAGTAATTCAGCCCAGTTGCTTCCACGATTTATTCCAAGGATTTACCATAAGGCCCCCTTCAAGTTGTCTGTAAGTTGTAACTATCAATTCGGACCTCTATAAAAAGAATAGAGTTATTAGGAGCCCAGGTTATTACGTTTTTACTTTTGCAGTCAAGTTGCTGGGAGATTGTCATCTATGCTGATTTCAGCTGGCGCCAGCTGCACAGCAGAAAGCATCGCAATTCTCGCTCCGTGAAGTGTGCAGAGAATGATATTGGAAGAAAGCCTTACACCTGCCTACTCCAATGGCCACCAAGTATAAGCTTTTGCGAAGTAGCAACGTGTCTTATTAAATATCTTCGAATAATGCCCTCAGCATTCACGGCTCTTGGGCAGCGTTCAATCCAACCGGACCACCGTGCCGTGCGGCCTAGAAAATGTTCTAGACGCGAAACCCCCTACAAGCGCATCTCGGGCGGAAGTACTGTGCAGGAACGAATGCTGTTCAACGCCATTGCTGCTCTAGTTGTGCTGTGCCTCATGCGGGTAAGATTGGAAGTTCAGCCTCTTTCGTCAACTAATTCGTCGATACCGCCAGGATTCAGGGGGGCCAGCCTTCTGGCCGCCAAAGGCTGGCCCCCATGGTCTTGAAATCGCTCGTGGCAAAGTGATCCACGCATCGCAGGACTTCAAGGAACGATCTAATTCCTGATCCAGAAGCGAGCCGCACAGGTTTGAACAATGTTTGGCTCTTCAGCTATGATGCAGAATTCACATGGTTCTTATGTTGGCTTCACTGAAGGATTCCGGCCGTCTGGACGGACTCATCTGCCAAGCCAGTTGGTGCATTGAGCAGTTCAGTTTGCGCAGCCCAGCCCCACTTGACCGTGGTGTGAGACCCTATGCGCCAAGAAGGCGAGACAGATGCAGGACGACGCTAGCCAGGAGAGAGAAATGACATAAAGGGGCAACGAATCAACCAACGGTTGGGTGATGATTTCTTCTCCAGAGGCTTCTAAGGCTGAAATGAAAAAGCGAAGATATCTCAGCTGCGTCACCGCCTCTTCAAGACGATCCCGAGACTCTCGGAAGAGCGAAACCAACTCCTTCCAGAGTTTCAATACCAAAGTTCCAATACAACGTCTCGCTAGAGCTCTGCATGCGGGACAGCGCATTGCGCAGCAGCAATGACCACTTTTAAAAAGGCAGCCCGCTAACATAAACAAGGACTCCATGTCTTTGGGATTCTGGACTTCACGATCGGCCGCCTGTGCTGGCGGAGACGAACGCCTGGAGGCCCTGCGAATCGACTTGTTTGCTCCAACAAACAAGCAGCTAACCCCTGTCGAACCCCGAAGGCCTCGTTTTCGGCCAGCCCAGCAATCCCTGCAGGTGAACCATCGGCGATTTGTTGGTCATGTCTTGCAGCCCCTGATGACTGCTTCAGCTGTGCCTTTGGCGTGCGCCCGGAGTTGGCCCCCGCGAAATGATTTCGTGCTTTGGTTTACCGCAGTAGGATTTTCTGATAGAACCCCCGTAACCGAATCCTTCACATTGTACTCTGTATCCGTAATGTCGCCTACGTTGGAACTGTGTTCCAACATGACATGATCAGGAACAAACGCAATCAAAAACCTTCACGGTGAGGATCGCCGTCGCCGATATTGTGAAATATTGGATGAATCTCCAGCCCCAAAGGGGCGTCGCCATCAGCCCCGTTGTTTTAACCTCTGGACCACGAACGAGGCCATGGCTTTCATCTCTCGTAGATGGCGCGTGGAGGACTCCGCGCGCGGTGTCACAGGGGGCAGCCAGTCCGTCTCGCCTGAGCATCGGGCTGTTTGACTTGCCCGTTGGTGTTGCGGTAGGCGCATCTTGGTAGGAAGAGGCGGCGAAGTGCCGGACGGCTCGGGCGCTGCAAGCGTAGCATTAAGCTAGTTAATAAGGACCTAGAAGTGGGCGTTTTCCGAGTCATGCTCAACTCGATTGGCTGGATTGAGGCTCACCAAATTGACCAAGAACAACTTGAAAAGTCTAACCGGCGGAGACCAGAAAAACGTCGCACAACGACATGCCATCACCTGGGTTTCTTTAAAGAAGAGACCCGCCCTGATCTGGCATTGAGGGTCTTGGCAACTTCGTGCGGAGGAATGTTCCGTCTGTTCTGCGCCCGTCAACGCACCACGAGCTGCCAAGGTCGACATCGTCACCAACAGAAGGGACAATGTCTGCTTTCTATCCGCATCCCCTCTCCCCCAAGGTGCATGGACCAGCTATTCTCGGCGCTTGCATCTTATCTCCTGCACATGCAGCGAGACAGTGTGACATGGAGGTTTTGACCTTTCCATTTCCCAGCCAGCTGGGCAACTCTGCAGATGCCAAGCTGAGCTAGCTAGGTTTCTTTGCTTTTCCGCTGCCAGGCACAGCAGGCTGGATGCGCCTCGCGAGGGTTCCTGGGCATGACTCGGCCTTGTTTTGTCACTTGGGACTCCAATCCTTGGCTGTGAATCTTGGCAATTAAAACGGGATGAACGTGATGGAGGCGCTAACCTTCACTTTCACGCATCAGGGGGCCATGCAGACTTGGCAAAGTCGATGGGATATATGGGAGCACGCATGCCGCGACATCCAGTTTGGGATTCTCTCTTGTTCTTTACTAGTCAACTGTCAGTCGCTGTGTTGTTTGACAGAGTCATTCGTTATCTCAACCAAGTCATTCTTTATAATATCTAAATAGTCATTCTTTTTTACCAACCATGCATTACAAGACTGTTGCTGCCACGCTCCTCGTGGCCGGAGCTACTGCCTCCCCCTTCCGCCGCCAGACTTCAAACGAGACCTTCTGCGAGGAGGACGCCCCCGAGACGCAACCTACCACCTCTGTTCACTTCCCCAGCGCTCCTTTCCCCGTGAACACCACCGTTCCTGGTGTCCCTTCTCGTCCTGGCACTGGCGGCAACCCTGGATCTTACCCCGGAAAGCCTGTCAACCCGGGCATCGAGACTCCTTCCTACCCGGTTGTGCCTACCAACGCCGGCGAGACGCCCTCTTCTCCCAGCAAGGCCTCTACCGGCGGTGAGTCTTCCAACACCGGTTCCGGCTCCGGCTCCGGCTCCGGCTCTGGCTCTGGCTCTGGCTCTGGCTCTGGCTCTGGCTCTGGCTCTGGCTCTGGCTCTGGCTCTGGCTCTGGCTCTGGCTCTGGCTCTGGCAACTCTGGAAACAACGGCACTCCCTCCAAGGGCGGTGACTACCCCGTCAAGGGCCACGACACTCCCAGCAAGGGTGGAAACGCTTCTCCCTCTTACCCCGAGCAGCCCTCCGCTCCCGGTGTTTCTACTCCCTCCACCCCCGGCGGCACCGGCAAGCCTTCCAACCCCGGTGGCAACGGCGGCAACGTCCCTTCGTACCCGAGCAAGGCTGCTGAGGCGGCGTCTTCTGCTCCGTACATCCCCTTCCCCATGAACACTTCCACCCCCTCTGTTGCTCCGTCTTTCACCACCGTCCCCGGTGTTGCTCTCCCCACTGAGCCCATTGCCAGCGCTACCCTCCCCGTTGCGAGCAACAACGCTTCCGCCCCTATTCCTAGCTCTACTGCTCCTGCTACCACCATCCCCTACGGTGTTGCCATCACCAAGTGCACCGTTCCTGGTGACTTCGCTCTCACCTTCGACGATGGCCCGTTTACTTACACCAACCACGTCCTCGACCTCCTCGCTGAGGCTGGTGCCAAGGCCACCTTCTTCGTCAACGGCGAGAACTTCGGCAACATCAACGATGAGCAGGACGTCGTCAAGCGTATGATCGCCGACGGCCACCAGATTGGCTCTCACACCTACAGCCACCCTGACCTCGCCACCCTTGGCGATGCCGACATCATCCCTGAGATGACCACCCTCGAGGACGCTCTGATCAACATCATCGGAAAGTACCCCACGTACATGCGCCCTCCTTACTTCAGCTGGAACGACAACACCCTGTCTATCCTCAAGGCTCTTGAGTACCACGTCATCCACGCGGATGTCGACTCTCTCGACTACGCCAACAACGCCCCTCTCGGCAACCTTACCAGTGTTGGCATCTTCGAGGAGGGCCTCAAGAAGGGTGGCTCTATTGCCCTGGCCCACGAGGTAAGCATACTCACACACCACTCATCAACTTTCATCACTAACATCCCAATAGGTTCACCAGAACACCGCTGAGTACCTCGTCCCCGAGTTCCTGCGCATCATCAAGGAGAACAACCTGAACGCCGTCACCGTCGGTGAGTGCCTTGGCGACCCTGAGGCCAACTGGTACAAGACCAAGCGCACCTCTACCCCTACCGCCACCGCCTCCAAGATCGTTGTCTCCATCACCAGCACTGCTACCCCCACCGGTGTCATCGGCCCCGACGGTGCTTGCGGTGGCACTGAGGGCTACGTCTGCGAGGCTGGTGCCTGCTGCTCCGAGTACGGTTTCTGCGGTTCTTCCCAGGCTTACTGCGGAACCGGCTGCCAGCCCCTCTTCGGTGTCTGCGGCGCCGCTGCCCCTGCTCCCTCCGGCTCCGTCACCACCACTGCCAGCGCTCCCGCTGCCACCCAGACCGGAACTGGTGGCGTCAGCCCTGACAGCTCCTGCGGTGGTGCCAACGCCTACACCTGCCCCGAGAGCACTTGCTGCTCTGAGTACGGCTTCTGCGGCACCACTACTGCCCACTGCGGTACTGGCTGCCAGCCCCTTTTCGGCACTTGCTCTTAAGTGGCTGAGACTGGAGAGTTCGCGGGTGTACCGTTCACGACGCCAGGGTGATATGGCTTGGGTTTAAAATTTCCTATATATATCCTGTAGAGTGTGTATAGAGTTAATAGAGTGTACTTACTTCACCAGTGATATAGCCTCCCAGCCAATCCAAGTCTATACCTCAAACGACCTGTTGAGTGGTAGTGAATGCTACTGTGAAATGTGACCTGAAACAGACGAGAAACATGATCGCGAAGAAGCCTGTAAAACGTATGATGGGATTGTTAAAGAAGGTGTGGGCCGTTCAACTGTGAATAGGATCCAGGTGCTTCGACGAAAGTACACATGAGCTTGCGCTGGAGTCCGCACTCATGGGCGAAAGGGCCGGGCTCAAGGCGCCGACAGATTGTTCGTTCATAGACTTTGTCGTGGACTTTCACTGCCCATGCTGCCCAGCCATGCCAAGTTCCCCAAGCCACGGCCGTGGATGTCGGGCAGCTTAGTTGAAAACCCCGCAATTAGGCGAAAGTTGCCTTGGCCACCGATCGGGACCATCCGATTACCACACTACTCCAAATGGTCTGGGTGCCGCTATCCGTAGAAGACGAAGAAAAGAGGAATGCCGGTGGGATCATCGTTATCAGGGTCGTAAGGGAAAAGACCGGGCAAATGGGACATCTCCTCAATCCTAATCCGGATTTGTCAACGGACATCGGGCTGGCTTCTGTGCTTGATTTATACCGAACCTCCTGAATTCCACCACTCAGCAATCATTATTCATCGCGTGCGTCAATTGGCATGCAAAACCGTACGCCATTGTTATCCCATAGTCCAAGACATCACTACAACGCTTCGCGAAAAACAATGACGAGACTTCATTCCTTTCGCATGGAGATCTCCCGAAGTGATTGGACGGCGCGATGTTGTATTGACTATCACCGAGAACAACTAGATAAATATGAGTTCTCTCTGGCCAAGAATCAATTCTTATAGTACATGCCATTATCTTGACATCTTCAGAAATGTCTCAGCTCCTCAAACTTCCTTTCCTTACGTGTCTCATATGGAGCTTACTGGCTGTGGCAGACCTGACCACGCATGACGTCGGCCCTCGAGCTATTTACACCTGCACAGTTCCCGCGAACAATAATGGCACCGACGATTCACCAGCCATCTTAGCCGCATTCAAAGAATGCCGCAAGGGCCGTCGAATTGTGTTTTCGAATACGACATATCACGTCAATCAAATGATGACAACCACGGACTTGGAAGATACCCAAATTGAGATACACGGCACTTTGCTAGTAGAGTCCCTCACATCGTCATCTCCATAGTCTTCGTGTAGCTGACAAGCAGCTGAAAGTGGAGCAACGACACCGACTACTGGTTGAGCCACCCTCAACCGACTGGTTTCCAAAATGGTTCTGCAGCTTGGTTCCTAGGCGGCAAGAATGTCACTGTAGATGGTTTCGGCTATGGAACTTTGGACGGCAATGGCCAAGTCTGGCAAGTGGTTTACCCGCAGCTCAATAATGTGCAATCAGACTAATGAGCGTTCTAGGTATAACTTAGTCAAAGGCCAGTCGAACTACCCAGATCGTCCTCACGCTTTGGCCATTTGGGAAGCCACAGACATGACGGTTCGCAACCTTCGAATGGTTCAGAGTCAAATGTGGACCATGACGATCATGTGGTCAAAGAACGTCCTCTTTGATGGCATCTACATTAACAGTACATCTAGCAATGGCTACCCTGCCAGGAACACCGACGGAGCAGACACGATCAACTCGGATCATATCACGTTTCGCAACATGTACATTCGCAATGGTGACGATGCTATTGCCCTGAAGGGTAATTCCACCAACATCTTGATTGAGGATTCGACCCTAGACCGCTCCCTTGGAATCGCATTTGGAAGTCTTGGGCAGTACAAGGGCGTATTCGAAAGAGTTGAGAATGTTACCGTCCGTCGGATCAAAGGGTTCAAGACTCGATATGGTGCCTATGTCAAGACTTGGACTGGCGATCAGGTGTCATACCCACCTAACGGTGGCGGTGGAGGTATCGGGTGTAAGTCTTTTCACCCCCTCAAAGTACGTCGGGGACTGACATGAATCTTCAACAGACCTTCGAAATGCAAGTGAGTGTTCAAACTTCCGTATGATTGAGGCTTGAGATGCTGATATCTCTATAGCATTAAGTGACTTCAACTTGACTCAGATACAGCAAGTGCCATTTGTCATCGGCCAATGCACAAGCTACAGCGGTGAAAAAGGAGACTGTGAGAGCAGCACGTTCAAGATATCCAATATGACGATTCGCGGCTGGGTCGGAGATGGAGCATCAAGTTACGTCGCAGATATGGATTGCAGCAAAGCGGCTGGGGGCTGTGACAATATCACCATCGAAAATGTTGGCTTGACCAACACCACCACGGGCGATGCCGTTGCGAAATATCGATGTAGAGACGTCACCTCAGTACAAGGTTTCACTTGCACCTGAGCTCGCAACAATAATATGTACATATTAGTCATCCCCACCAACAACTTCTCCTTGAGAACTTTTCTGCCCATTCCTGCTAGCCGGCCTTGATTCAATACCTATCATGTCCTCTGCTCCTGATTATCATAGTCATAATAAGGGAGAAAAGAGTTTCAATTAAACGAATTTCAACAGATAGTAAGGATGAAGGGAATAAAGAGCCAGGTGCGGATCGTGCAATGCCTGACTATCAAATACGTTTCACTCCGAACTTCAAGCCTGCACCGTAGCAATGTTTGCTCAAAATCGGTCAACCGCATAACATGTATACGGTGAAAGGGATTCAATCTAGATTCCGTGACTTTCTTAGTCAATCTTTACATTTGTTCACATATGCCGTAGAACTCCCTCGCGTTTTCATCGCCCTCGTGACAAGACGCGAAAAGCGAAGCCACACTAACACGTGACGCAAAGTCGAGAAACTTGATACGAGGTTTCACAACATTGGCTAGGTGGGGCATAATAGATGTAATGTTCATCCGACAGAGCCTTGCTATGGCGCCATTCCGTCATCCAGACCCCTGAGCCTGGGCAGCCCATAAACCAGCATCAACCAATAATTCATCCGCGACAACTGCGTAATAGCCTATTAGTCCTCAAGGGTACCTTTGCCGTAGGATCCGAAGACGCGGCAGCATCTACGCGTTGCTGCGGCTCAGCTCGCAGTCAGCAGCCACACGTGGTGATGGCGCGACAATCGGCCAGTGAAGTTTACCCTTAAATCCAAACCAGTTGCGATTGGCCTGTCAAATTACTGCACAGTCGGATGTTGCGAAGTAGTCATACGGCACAGATGTTCGTGATGCTGTAATGGAAACTGGTATTAAGACTTCTTTTCATCGTTACCACATCAACGACACTCATCAGGTGTTTAGCGGTGGCTTGCTGCACGCAAGACATGAAAGAATGCCGTCAGACCGTACATAAAAATATGAAACTAATGCTTAGAATAAAACCTCGCAAGACCAACAAGGCCTTCACATGACAGACCAATTTCATTTTATTCTATAATCGAATTCAAATTATACGATGAAGAATATATTGAGATGAAATTTTACACCCCTCTCGTTGGAGCATTCGTGGCCCTCGGCCAGACTGCCTCTGATGCCAATTTAAATTCTATGCAGTTCAGCTGGGTTTTACAGTAACCCCACCTTCGAAAACTCTGAAGTATTACGATTGTTACGAAGGCTTCCAATGCGCTCGATTGCAAGTCCCGCTTGAGTGGTCCAATCCGAATCTGAAGACAAATACGACTGTTGCTGTCGCCATGATAAAACTCCCGGCCACGGTTTCAGAGGACGACGCAACGTTTGGTGGCAGTGTCTTGATCAGTCCCGGAGGCCCCGGAGATTCTGGTACAGACTTGCTTCTTCGTTCGGGAAGCCGTTTCCAGAGCCTTCTGGCGGGCGAACGCAACTATGAAATCATCGGCTTCGATCCCCGGGGTGTCAATTTGAGCACACCACATGGCGATTGCCACAAAGGCGACGAAATCTCTCGGAAGCTGGACCAAGAGCGCAACACAGGTCTCAACCCTATCACGGAGGATTTCAATGCCCTCAATTATCACTATGCATCGGCTTTGGGGAAAAGTGAACTTTGTGAGGTTGATGGTGTCGATAGTATCTGGGGTTACCTCAATACCGCCTCGGTTGCCAGAGATGTGATTGAGATTATTGACCGAATCGATGACCTTCGCTGGCGGAATCGCAACTCAACAAAACCGGCGAATGCTCCAAAGCCTAGACTACAGTACATTGGCATATCATACGGATCCTTTCTGGGAAACACATTGGCTTCTATGTTCCCCGAGCGGGTGGGAAGAATTATGGTTGACGGAATCGTGAATGCCGAGGACTACACCAACGTTGTGAGTTACTCAGTCCCCACAGACGTCTAAGGCTATGTAATATATGAACTAACCCTTTTTCTGAAGACTTGGCAGAAGAATCTGAATGATGCGGAAGCCGTTCTCGATTATTTTTACCAAGTCTGCTTTGACTCTAGAGAGGGCTGTCCAATCCGACTATCATCAGACAAGGAAGCTGCCGATATCAAGAGCCGCGTTGAGGCTTTTCTTAACACTCTAGACATCCGTCCAATTCCAGTGGCACACGGCGGAAAAGTTGATTTGATTACATCGCCTACTGTTCGGCTTCTAATCTTAACTCTGATTTACCAACCTGTCAAATTTGAGTTACTTGCCCTTGGTCTCGGAGCCCTTATCACCGGCGAATACATTTCGTTTCTTGAGATGCTATCGGCGGACGCCCCTGATACCACTTGTGGTGGTTCCGCGTCCCACAACGAGGCGCCTCCCTATACCTGGTACGAAGACGTAGCATACGGTGTCGTTTGCAGCGACGCAGTTGACGGCGTGGCTTATCGCAACCTCTCCGTTTCCGATGAACTGGTGCATATAATCGATAGACAAGCCCCAACAACCGGCGTTGTATGGGGTGGTCGTGTCATCGCCTGCGCCGGCCGCAAGATTCGGCCGCCATGACCCATTTGCCTTCACTGGACCCTTTGGTAGTCCGGCGGTCAATGTCAGCGACCCGAACACCCCTGAAGCCCCTTTGCTCATTATTTCTTCGCGTTTCGATTCCGCCACGCCTGTGGCCAATGCATTCACCTTACAGAAACAACATGTGGGCTCGGGTGTTGTAATTCAGGAATCAACGGGCCACGGTGTAACTGGGGCGGGAATAAACTCATGCACGGCGAATATTATCCGGGAATTTTTCTTGAGTGGAAAAGTGCCCCTGAATTTGACAATATGTCAAGCAGAATGCATTCCGACCATTCCCGCGGAGAGAAGCAATTGCTGAGCCCCTTTGTGGTAAGTGCCCAGGAAAGGGCAGCGATACCATGGGTTTTTCTTCTTCAATGGCTCCGTATCAAATGTATCATATAGGCCTTACTGGAACCAACACAATTGCTCGAGTTCCGCCGATGAGGATAGTGCAGTCATTTGTGCAATGTGCCAGCGAGAACTAAGTCAGGGCCAGCCTCTCCATCCCAAAGAATGATCCTTTCTTTTCGCGACTGAGCGGAATGGCCGAAGAGGCTAAGGCCTTATATGGTCGCTGTCTATTCATGACAGTCCAGATAATGCCGCCATATTATGCCTCACTGGTGGCGTTAGGCATACCTTTAGTAGGAGCTGTTTGCTCTCCCCCATTCCTCCAGGCCACTTGTTGATGCCATGCATCCAATCAAGTCAATAATGTGGCGGGTCATTGACTGTCGTGATGATCGCCTGGATAAGGAATAGGAGGTTACGGCGATGGCCCCCCTCCTATTGACTTTAGTCCAACAACCACTGCCTAGCCAAAGCCTGGTCACTTTGGATGTTTTCCCAGTGGCTACTGAATGTTGGTGACTAGCGCCGTGGCATCCTGCAGGATTCAAGCCTGTCAGACGGACTTCTGCCGTCTTACCTCGCAGGTTTTGTTGGCCATTCGGAATCTCATGCATGGCTCGGGTGGAAAGGGAAGAATGCTAGACTAGGGGCCCCCGTATACCGGAGGATGCAGATTTCAGCCCCCGCTTCGCACAGCTAGGTGTGCCGTGTAGAGTTGTCGCTGTACCTGGACTCGCAAGATTGCGCTAGAGAGTGAGGAGAGGGAGGAACGCATACAAATTCACGAGATTGATACCCATCTAAGCAATGAGATATAGTTGCTAAGAAACACACCTACCGGTTGTCTGGTACGGACACGATCGATTCCCCATCAGCTGTGTGTTACGTAGTCGGCTTCGAACAGGGCGAGCAGGCTGTTCAATGTGTCAAAACAGAGAATGGCTCCACGGCCTCCGCTTTGTATTTTGCCACACTTCGTTTCAAGTTACACCAGTCTGGATACATGCCGGTCTGGCGCAGTAAGCGTAGCTATCTGCTAGGACTGCGGCTGACAGCGTCCGCAACGGGATTCGCCAGCTGAGCGAGGTTCTACCATGCCAACAGAGAACGCTGCTGGGTGGAAACCTGTGCTTGGGCAAGTTGGACCATTCGGGTCGCTCACTTCAGGCCGCCTGAGGGGTTATGCAAGCCATGTCACTCATTAAGATTACGTGCGGCGAGTCCTCGTTATCAAGAATCAGAGGGGATGCTCACCTGCAGTTCGGCCTGTCTTGTGCAGAATTTGCACTTATTTAAGGTCTGGCGATCCACTCATCAACTGAGACACTAGTAACGGAGCGATTTCCGAATGAGACCTGTTGTTGAATTTTGAATGCGACATCATGAACCTCCTATCGTCAGCATCACGAGAGATTTTGCTGCTACTCGCATGGTGCATTATTGGGACTTCAGTTGCGCAAAATGACCCTGTCCGGGACTTCTGTCGGAGATGGGGGCACCAGTCGGCGGTCGTGGACCGTAAGTTATACATTGACGGGGGCCTGATCAACTACAAACCCTTCTCGTCATCATCTCGAAATTTCAGCAGTAGGTTTCTGCGCCTTCACCCCGCTTCAGAGTTGATTGAACAAGTTATAACAAGAAATCAGATACCGTCCTCGCATACAATGACCTCGACGACGTGCCTTCAACGCTCGGAATGCCCCAGTTCCACGACGGCCTTTCGAAGAACACGACGATACCGAGCGTAAGCGGCGGCATTCTATGGGAAGACTCGGTGAACAAGCGGCTGTTCCTTTACGGGGGTGAATACTTCGAGGATCCACCGGCCGCCTTCGTTCTCTACAGCTACGATATCCTCTATAACAATTGGGCGCCACTTGGGTCTCCCACTGGCGCTGGAAATGCCAATGCAGGTAGTTATGGTGCCGGAGTCTCGATCTCATCGAGGGGAGAGGCATATTACTACGGCGGATGGCAGAGCAACGCTTCTGTGCCAGGATGGACAGGTCCGCCGAAGGCCCTGAGCAGACTTATCAAATACGACATGGACAAGAACTCCTGGAATAGCGTCGCGGGCCCCGACAACGTCGGCAGGGCAGAAGGCGTGATGGTCTTCATCCCAATTGGAGATGCTGGAATGCTGGTCTACTTCGGTGGCAGTCAAGACCTGGACGGCAATGGGACCCTGACACCACAACCCATGGATGAGATCTTTCTGTACGACGTCGCGAATACGAAGTGGTACACACAGAAAACTTCCGGTCGTACTCCCGAAATACGGAGGCGTTTCTGTGGCGGTGCGACCTGGGCCCAAGACCAGTCCAGCTACAACATGTAAGTCCGTACTTTCAGGAAGGCTATTGGAGCCAAAACTGACCTCATCCCAGTTACATCTTCGGCGGCGCAGGTTTCCCTCCGGACACTACGGGATACGACGATATCTACATCCTCACCATCCCCAGCTTTCAGTGGATCCGAGGTCCGTACCCGGCCAACAGCAACGTCACGGGGGAATTCCCCAAAAGCATGATGAGCTGCAACGTGGTCGACAACTCACAGATGCTTGTCATTGGCGGTTCCTATTCCAACGATACGACGTACTCATGCGATGCTGACAATGTATGGGGCACACACAACATGAACCTAGGTCAAGATAATGACGAGAATGCTATCTGGTTACGTTACCTGCCCAGTCTGACCACCTATGCCGTGCCTACCGACATTCTGACGGCCGTGGGTGGCCGTGATGGCGGCGGCGCGACACGAACGGCGCCGACAAGCGGCTTCGACGCCCCAGACCTCTCCGTCCTCATGACACGCAAGGCGACGCCGGCAACTAGAACGCCAACGCGCCCCATCAGCCTCGCTACCTCGTCTTCGTCAAACTCTAGTATCCCATCCTCTGGGCTGAGCAAAGGGGCCATAGCAGGCATTGCTGTTGGTTGCGGCGTGGCTCTCCTACTAGTGTTGACTGGTTGTTTTTGTTTCATCCGTCGCCGGCGGGCGTATTCCAGGGAAAGACACGCCTCAGCACTGGCTCCAGGGGCAGGGATGTCAATGGCATATCACCATGGTCAAGCCCATCAGGGGCCGATGTACGGCGGCTGGGGCAGTACGCAGGTGTCCTCGCCGACGGTGACAGCTACCTCGCCTGCGATTCCGCCTGCTGAGCTTGGGAATGGAGCTGAGCTGCAGTACCCCAATCACAGCATTAGTCCTACGAGCGGCAAACACGACGTTGCCTACGGAGGACCATCGCCCGCGATGCCCAATGAGAGGGCATCTTAGATCTTCAGAGTAGACTGCTAAGAACGAAGTCCTGATTAATTTTCATACTTCCTGTGTCTTTGACAAAATATTCGCTCGGAAATTGCAAATCGACACGGCATGGAACCATTTGAACTCGAAGTTTCTGTTGCTTTCACTTCCAATCGACAATTGATAAACTTTATCGAGACATGAGGCCTCGCTTTCCGACCGCCGCGAATTCAAAGACCTCCAGAAAGTGCTAATGTATGGATTCTTTGTGGATGTTGCAGAGCCTGTGATGCTCGAAAAGGATGGCAGAATATCGGTAGATGTGCCATGCACTGTATCAAATCTATAGTAACCAAGGTATTCTTCGTTCAACCCCTTTCCTCGATCCACATCGATCGGGATACGAAAGCAACGGCGATTTCGCTATCTGGCCCGATTGGGACCGAAAGAACAGACAAGGCCAATAAGGGCAATAGAAACAATAGAAATGACGATCCGGATAGTAGCGATAATAAAGATGATTATTTCTCCGGCATTGTGTTACATGTACATGAGTCAATGGGTTGAAGAAACGACTTCGATTGAGTGAGAAGATTGATTGGGATGTTCCAAACTCTTCAATCTCGCAGTACGTCTGTATGTTCTGCAGGCTTCCTTGAATAATGGACCCGCCGGCTTTCCCCTCTAAAAGCCTCCTTTGTCAATAACATTCCTACGCGAATGAGGGGGCAGCATTGGAAGCCGACTTCGCGTCGGCGCCAGCAGCTCTACACCCAGCTTGTCTTGCGGACGACGCTGCTCAGACGCATCCAAGGCGACGAGGCGATCGAAACCAAGGCAGCTGCGGCTGGCTAAGCTGAATTTTATTCAGGCAACAGCAAGGCGTCCTCGTACAGGGGATGATAGCCGTGGGGACTCTAATACTTAGTAGACAAGGGGCGGTTTTGGAGGCGAGTGATTGGAGATACGGAAGTGGCAAGTGCTGCAGTGAACCACACTAAAACAGCGGTCAATGATAATCAGCGTATAGATGAAGCCAAGGCGAGGATGGCGACATGTCGTTTTCAATCGAGATTACCGGCTGATGAGCTGCAGCGGGAAATGATAGGTAGTTCAGCATCAAGCCCACATCTTCCTTAGCCTGCAGCGGGCTGCCTCTGTGCAGAGGTAGGTGAAAGGTCAGGCCGACATGCATGCGACCCAAGAAACGCTCGTAAAGCTCCTTACTACAGCTTTCAGATTGACCATCCTCATTGGAACTGGCTGTCTTTATCTTCCTGGGAAGCCAGTATCCATAGCCGGTCAGCCATTCCATTTTTCCCAACACACTTCTTAGCTAAATGATGCTCAGCCGGAAAACTTGCCTCGCTTCCAAATCTCAGACCACGCCAAACACAAAAACGACTCTGCCGTATCTCGGGGAAATGCACTATTTATTCGTACCGGGACAGTCAAAAACGTGTTTCTAGCAGTTGTCGCAGGAAGCTGAGTGAGCCAGCGTTCATACTCGTTAAAGCCTTGCAGATTTAAGCTGGATGGGCGAGCTGGCGTTGTTGAATATTAGTCACGACTTGTTAACACGTCGCGACATACGCAAATTTCCCCTTGCAAAATGCAGCAACATGATACTCATGACCATTTGGCAAGGGTCTGCTCGGAATTGGACCAGTACATCATGCCTCAAGCGGACGAACGAGACCCCTTGGATTTTCTCGAGGCACAGAGGCTCTGGAGCCTGTTCAATGACCAGGAAAAGATGCCAGATCTTTTCAATACGCCTGCGCGCGAGATTAAACGTGTGGGAGACGGGACAGCAAAATAGTAAGGAAACCTCGACAAGTCAAGCTTTGATAATAACTCATCATGTCTAGAATTACCAGAAAATATCCTAACTCTTCTCAATCTTGACGCGGTTCGCAGGCATCTCATTCGATCCGAAAAAGACCCTCATATTCGTCACGTGTAGGTAAACTTCGAGCGAGCATCTTTGACTAAGGTATACTAACCATAACTTTCAGGTTTATCGGGTCGAAATATCCTAGATCACCAATGAACTGCTCACCAGAAACTTTTCGATTCGTATGTGCCTATCATCAGGTAGAGCCTTTCTTCCTGGAGACTGTTTTCCCGTTCGGAAAACAGCCTCATCCATTTGAATACTGCCTGGCACATTTCAGATCAAAAACATTTGTGAAAAGTAAGACCGTAAACTCCCCCTCACTTCCGCACTTCGGGGGGTCAGGCGATGCGATCCACGTATCATATTTGTTGCGTTCCGTCGAGCACTTAGGAGCAAAGGGCATTGAGGGTTGGCACATCAGCCAAGCCGCAAATTATCACACTTTTGACCTCGAAAGCGGCCGGGCTTTCTGGTTCACCATCAAGGACAACAAAATGTTCGAGGACCGCATTAAGGATTTGGCTCCTCGCTTGAAGATTCCTTCAGGGCAAGAAACCGCGGATGGTAATGTTGCGTCGTACCTCAAGGTATCTCTGAACACCCACCTGCTTTACCTTTCCTGGTGTGACGAGGGCTGGCGTGAATTCATTAACGACTTTGAAACGTCGATACGGAATATCTTACTTCCTACAAAAGCTGTTCGAGCCCAGCCGGACATCGATGCTGAGTTCTCTCATTATCACACATTCCCTCGGACATTGCAGCAAATGCGACAGCAGGAGACTACGTCAAACAACCTATTCAGACGCAACAACGGGCTCGCCAGCTTTGACCGCGAGAACGAGGCTCCTCCTTCTGCCACTCCATCTTTGGGTTGAAGACCACGAAGCCAGATGAAGAACAGAGCCTTCAGTTTGAAAGCATGGGAGACTTTCCGCAGAGTCTCTACTCGACACTCGGCTTCTCAGAAACCTTGGGAGAGCTACGTCTCAAAGATCTCCAGACTTTACACAGTCGATCAGAGCTGATACAAAGATCAATCTTGGTCTTAGAGCTAAACACTGGAGTATTGCGCAGTATCCATGTATATTACAGCAACCTAACAAAGACGAGACTCAGTAATCCAAAGTACAGAGAAATCGTCGATGGGTTTTTGACGAGAATCGAGTCGACGATTGCCAATCTCGAAACCAGGCGAACACAGCTGAGCTCACTTTCTACGCATCTCACCCAGGGCATGCATTAAGTAAGTGCGCATAAGAAAACAATTAATAGACCATGGTATGCTAATTCTGGCAAAATTAGTATGAAACGCTTTGGGACGGCGATCTAATAATCTGCAATCTAAGTTGGCAGAGTATTCTTTCGAATCCCTCAACATTGCCGACAAGACATCCAAGCAGACGTCTTCTATGCATGTCATCACTGTCGTGACCCTCGTTTTTACCCACCACATTCGTTGCCGTAAGAGAGGCTTACCCTCGTCTTTGCTCCCTGTTGCGAGATTCTGACATTCCCAGACTTTCCTTCAAAGCGGGGTATTAGCCCAGGATGAAAACACCGGCGCATTTAGTTTTCAAGGAGAGAGCTTCAAAGTATTTATCCTTGTTTGTGGGCCATTGACAGCTATTACGGTAGGAGTTTGGTTAAGGGTATTCATGAAACGAAAAGGAGGCAAGAACTGTAAACTTGAGCCTAGAAATGTCGGTATTTCGCAAGACTAGGAAATGGATCCTCCCTACCTACTAGGTATATGAACATACATAGACTAAGAGCAACAGTAAAGAAGCTCGGGGGCATGTGTCAAAGTCACAGTCGCGAACTAAGGCTCCTACTTTGCCCTGTCATTTTCTGGCATCTCCCAACAACGATGAAACCATACCAAAACCTGGTAACTCTTAAAGTTTTCAACCGAAGACATTGTCATAAGCAATTATCAACGTTGATGGATGAAACTTGGCGGACGTACTTTGATCCAAGGGGCAGACGCACACATCTCTAAGCTATTCGGCTGCAAGATTTTCAGACTGAGTTTAGATTTCGGGGATTCCCTGGAGCATTTCCGGCATTGCACGACACTTTGGGCAGACTTTGAGGAAATGGCGGTAAAAAATCATAAAAGCACCCACGATATGGCAGAGTGGGGTTGAGTTCAATTATTGGATCTTCATCTTCAACGACAAAATATCTCTGGGACTTCATATAGAACAAGCCGCCCGGATATGCAGAGTCTTGAGCAAACTGTCGAGAAACGGACATGGCGACCCATAGAAAGAGTTCGAACTCTACTTCGCGTCTATGAAAGTGTGTAAATCAAAGAATGGCAGTGAAATTCAAATTGCGATGGAAAGATACCATTTCTCAAATTCTCGTTACGACGTCGATCAAGTGCTTAGTAGAGTCACAGAGGAACTATAACGGGTCAGACTCCACCTATTGACCAATGTTTACTGGGACATTCGGAAACCCTCAAGTATCTGCGCTTTCAAAAAGTTGATCGAAAGACTTGCGAAGTGCATGGTCGAGAAGAACAAGCAGTCTCACAAAAGTCCGATCTTGACAGGTGCGTGCCCGGAACGTAGTCACTGGCTACGCTTCTTGGCAGAGACATCGTCGATACCCGAAATGCTCAGGAGGACGTCAGGAAAATTTAGCCGCAACCTTTCACAAATGAGGCAGGCGAGTTGTCATCGGACTCTAATTCGGTCTCAGTTCCGTATTCAAAGTAGATGTATGATGTGAATAGCAACAAGCTTAGGGAAGTAATTATTATCAACTTATGAGCAATGTCTAGACAACCTTGGATACCCGGTCGATGATCAACTAGATAGACCTTTGGAACGAAGCTGCTAGAGAAGCTTGTTCTTTCTGGAAACGCTGCCATTGAAATTCGAGACCTTTACATCCCCGTTCATGATGTTCTCTCCATCGTCGTCTCTATTGTCATCTTTGTTTCTCTGTCGTCGTCCGTAGCCTCGTTCCAGTCCCATCCAAGCCTTGAAACTCCCAGATCAAGAACAGTCGTCCATTGGAAACGTATTGCAGCCGTAAAAAAAAGGCGAACACAAGCAATTTCTTCTAAGTGAACCAGGGCCTGATAAGAAGCTGAGCAACGGCAACGGCGTAATTG